TATGGTGCTCTGCATGGTATCTCTCCGTCTTCGTGTCTTTCTGAATTAGATTCAATCTCTTTTCTTTTGGCTTGTCTGGTTATCATTGGAGAATTCTGTGCCTTGCAGTCCTTCATGTTGAATCTTTCTAATATCTTTTCTGTATAATCTGTCTGAGTTAGGGTCATGGCTTTATTTAATCTATCTCTCTGAATTTTCATTCCTAAATACATGTTTAGATCTCCCATGTCTGTCATCTGAAATGCTTCACACTGTCTGGATTTTATTTCCTGCAGCTTTTCTTGATTATTACCTGCTAGGATTATGTCATTGACATAGAGTACAAGTATGATCATTTTTCCTTCCTTTCTCCACGTAAATAGGCATGCTTCATTGATGTCTCTCTCTAGACCTAATTTCTTAACTTCTTCAGTAAATTTATCATTCCATTTCTTTGGACTGATTTTTAGTCCATACAGTGTTTTCTTAAGCTTGCAGATTTTTCTTTTCTTTAGTTCTTCTGGAATATTCAAGCCTTCTGGAATTTTCATGTAGATTTCTTCATCTAGTGTACTATTTAAGAAAGCCACTTTCACATCAAGTTGTACTGCATCTAAGTCTTCTTGATTTATTATAGCAAGTGCAGATCTGATGATAGCTATGCGAGATACTGGTGCATGTTTCTCTTAATTCGTATTCATTCTTATCCTTAAAGCCTCTTATGACCAGTCTCGCTTTATGCTTAATTTTTCCATCTGAAATTTTCCTTTTGTATATCCATTTTAAGTCTATTAAGTTGAGTTTGGATACTTCTGAAGTTGAGGCAGGGTAATCAGTTATTTTCCATACTTCCTTTTCTATCATAGAGTTTAATTCTTCATTCATGGCTTGTATCCAATCTTCTTGATTGGAATAAGGGAGTCATAAGGGAGTCAGTTTGGCATCTTACCAGGTATGCGGATGCAAGTTCTTTGCATGTGTTGGCAACAGCCTGGTAAAATACCGCTCTCTTTTCTTCTTCTGAAATAGGAGATAGTGGATTGCATGTTTCGTGTTTTGAGATTAGTGAATCCAACCTGTCTATAAAGTCTGTGTATTTTTCTTTATTTGTCAGTCTTAAATTATAGATTTGTTGTAGAATCAGCATTTCTGAAGTATTTGTTTCAATCCTCTTAATATCTTTTATTTTATTTCAAATATCAACTGGCTCTGAAATGTTTAAGATTTTCTTATGGTAATTAGCGTCCAAAAAGCTTACGATTAGATCTCTTATTATGCTTTTTTTATTTACAACAGCCTCTGAATTGTCATTTCTGTATTGTTCTGAATTTGTTATATAATCTATTAAGCCATTTGTCGCTAACTCTAATTTAAGCCTGTCATACCAAAGATCTAGACTGCCTTTGTTGGTTAATAAATATTCTCTCTTTACATGAATCTTTGAAACGTTCAAAGTATTCTGTAGAGAGTTATTGAGGTTACTCTGAATTGTCAATTGTTTGTTGATATTTTCAACTGTTTAGTTAAGTTGTATTAGTGTTTGAGTGTTGTCTGAAGTTTGACCTTCTGAATTAATTTGTATATCGTCGTTTGTGTCGTTCTGTATGTTTTGTGAGGGTGTGACTGAGGTAGAGTTATGTAGTGAAATTGGTGCAGAATCTGGTACCTCCGAAACTCGTGCAGATAGTGTGCGAATCTCTGCAAGGCACGTTTTCACTAGGCTTATGGTCTCTTTCTGTGTCGCTACTGCCTCTTGCCGCTGTTGGTTCATGCGGTTGATGGAGGTGTTTAGGTGTTCTAGTACATCTAGAAGCCTTGTTTGGATTGCTTGAACGTGGTGCTTCTGAAATATTTATTTTACTATAAAAATTCTCTTCAGTTTTATTGTCGTATAAGTCTGTTCTGCGTTTTGAGGACAGACTCATACACGTGGATCCAGCTTCTGTTACATCTCTTTTTAGTATTATCTTATTATTCTGAATTGTCTTACCATCATTCATCTGAATACTCTCTGAATTTGGTGTTAACACTTGTTGCGATGTGTTGCTGCCACTTTCACCCGCAGATGTTCCTGCCTGCTGTTCTATGGGTGTTAGAGGTGGAGATGGTGGCAGTTGTTTTGGTTCGTCCGAGGCATTGGTGTTGTCGCCCTCAGGAAACACTTCACGTGTCTCTGACATTCTTTAATAAGATAAATATTTTATTTGTTTTGAATGTTAAAAGGTACTACGATTTTAAAAATCAAATTTACACTCTGTCCTAATCACACGTACTCCCTCCCAAACCAACTAGCCATATATAGGTTTCGTTGTTACTTTTAGGGAGAAGAAGGCGGCCGCATACGTGAGAATATTACATTCGTGCAAATTTTGTTTTGATTTTAGTGACAATAAGAATAACGCGTCTGGAGAAAAAAAAATAACACGTCTGAAAAATAACTCGTCTGAAGAAAATTGCACTTCTGAATAACAATATGTCTGAAAAAAATGACTAAACTGTTTCTTTATAAACAGTAATTCTTTTTGTTATTTTAATGTCACTTTGATCAAAAACTTTTCACACGCAAAGTGAAACAATTGGCTTTTCTAGATTTACTTCTTAAGCAGACTAATTTTAGAGAAAGAAAAGGGAAGAAAAAAAATTCACTCGGTATTAATTGTTATGTGTAGCAGTCTTTGTACATTTTTATTAACAAGATTGTGTACAACACTAATCGGCTCTCAAGTGAACAGTGTCCCGTAGACTGAGAGAGAATCATGTACATATCTGCTTAGTTACACATAAACACACTGCACAGCAACTGTAAACATTGCCGCGCGCGTTTTGCTTCGAATTCCACGAAGCGGCTTTTGTCTCGACCTACCTTAAGGTGCCGGTTTTAACACGTTTTTCTGAATTTATTGCTCTGAATTAATTGAATTCTCTTTTTGTTACGACTTTTTTATGTTGACTTCTTTCTTTTATATTATTAATGAGTTTTTAAGAAAAATCTAGAAATATCTGTTAATCGTTTCAATCAACTTTTTCTTTATGTTCACGGAAGCCTGTTTCCCTTTTTGTGGGATTCTTATTTCAATTTTTTTTTTAAATATACCACGTTCACTTCACTTCACTTCTTAATTACTACTCTTTACTTACGTGTAATCTGAAATCTTTTACACTCGTCTTTCGAAAAAGAAAAAAAAACGAAGAGTTTAGCGTGCTGGGTGCCCACAACCTGTTATAGTAGTTAGTTTTATTTATATATAGGCACTTATATAAATATATAATTAAGGGACACAAGATTATTAACTGAGCTCTTTATTATTAACTCTTAAATATAAATATAGGCTTAAGAAACACTGCGCACACTGTTAAGTTACAATTGAACTAGAAGAAACTCTTAAAAATTTTCTCAAAGACTAAACGTTGCTTTCGTAATCAGCGTTAAGCAGAGAGTGAGAGAGAGCATTTTATTCTCTCCCTCCGAGCCGCGCCAAAACCGAGCCGCTAGAAGGTGGCGCCTCCAGTGGTGGTCACGACGTACTTTCTCACCATGTTATAAGTTTAAAGCACTCTGAGAAGTGAAAACTAAAAGAAAACTGAAAATAAAAAAAAAACGGTCCTGCTGCCCTGAGAAGATCGAGGCTCTATAGAGAGAGAGATCAAGGCGCACGATGAGTATAGTACGCACTTCACTTTCGCTTTCCCGCAGCCATTACATATTTGTGTTCTTCGTTTTGCTTTCCATCATATTCAAAAACTTATGGCTGTTTCTAAAAAGCCGCAAAAATTCAGAGCAGACGATAGCCGCGATATGGCTGTTACGTCTTACGCAACGGCTGCAAATTGACTTTAGTTACTCAACCGCGACTGTCTCTTTTCGGTCAACGTGTAAGCGCTTTATCACGGGTACGAGACTAAACTAGAGCAGGCTGGCAATCTAACTAAAGCACCGATCAGAAAGGTAACAGTTAAATAAAATTACCTGTAAATTGACTCGTCCTGAAACTCGTACTACAGAAGCCAGGGATGTATCGTAGCTATATATAGAGTAGGTGTAAGACTTTTCTAATTTATAATAAATGATTCGTAGAAATTTAATTTTAGTATTTATTACTCAACATAAGTGATACAGAGATTTTTGGAGTCTTTCAGAGTAGAATACAGAGTTCTTTCGACAGTTGCTTTCCCACCTCTTTTATAAGACAAAACACATAAAAAGTAGGCTATAAAGAATTAATCCCAGAAGGGGAACGCGCGTCATCAAGAACAAGGTCAGACTTTAATTAACCATTACTCTAATTAAGGGAATTCCCCTTTCATAAAAATTTAAATTTCCCGCTTTTATATGGCCTGACCTGTTCCCGACGTCACATGGCTATTAGCTGAGTGTGGCAGTCTCATGGTTCGACCGTCCGCATCTAGATGGTAACGACCAGCCACGAGCGGCATGAAATATGCTCACTGCATATATAACTCCATATAACGACACAAGCACTTCGAGCGTATGAGGCAGATGTTACCGGCCGTCGAGCCTCATTGACGAGTCCAGCCGGTAGCATCGGGACGAAACGCTTTCTACCTTACCAACCTCCCGAGTGTGAGCCTGGCTACCTCACACTGCGACCAACCTTTTACATGAGACTCCTCGTACACATCTATACATACGCATACTTCTTAATAGCCAAATGAGTATACGTGTTTCGTATAACATACAAAAGTATTTGATTTTCCATCATTTTTTATATATTCAATACTTTTGAAAAAGTGGAGAGGGTGCAATTTTATTCTTCTAGGGTTTCATTTTTTTATCTAATCATTTTCTGAAAATATTTATGTAATTATAAAATTATCGCTTTTGAAAAAAGCTAAGAATTAGCAGTTGATTTTCAATTTTTTAAGCAACTGAAGGGGTGCAATTGAAATAAAGAGCATTTTCAGAATGTTCAAACAGAAATACGCCGACATGTATTATTTATTATTCGTTTTCTTTTATTACGTTGGCATAACTGTAGTTATTATAGGGTAATTTACAAATCATGAAATAATCAATAAATGAGTGACTAGTTCACGGGCTGATCAGTTGTTATAAAATGCCTCAATATTGAATAATAAGTAATAATTTAAAATTAAACAATACTAGTTTTTTCATTTGCATACAAATATTAAATTTATATTTTTTTTCGTAAGTAATTTGAAATTGATAAAATTTAACAGGCTCAGATACTGTTTTGGACTTAATTTCAATAAGCGTGAGTACTTGATTATACTTTTGAAATATTTGGAATATTTCTTCAGTTTTATTGATTATTTATTAAACATATATTTTTTTTTCAAAATTCTTTTTACAAAAATGTTGTTGTATGTATGAAGATTATTTTATTTTATTACAATACACATAGTAATGTATTACTTTTCTGAATTTGAATAATTCAAAAATATTGGGTATTTTTAATTTAAACTGTGACGGTTTTATATATTAAAAATAAGGTTAATGTCACTTTCTATTAGAACTATTTCTAAAATTTTAAAATATTTATTCTTGAATATCACATGAGGTATATCAAATGATCAAAAGTACGTTTAATTGAATAACAACATTGTATTAGTTACTTATAAGTTATCATTGTGATTATTTTGTAAACTTTATACTATTAAAAAATGAATTTATAAATTTATTGATTATTTTCAATGGCACTTACCAATAAAAGTTCAATTATTTGATTGCATTAATAAAGATAACTTGAAAACTTTTGTATTGTACATGTTTTCTTCAAGCAAATATCTAGGATTTGTTAAATGTATTTGAAAATCAGCATACAATCAATTCATCTTAAATAGCTATCAAATTTTTTAGTAAAAATTATTGATATTATGATTTCAAGAAAAGTTAGTTTAAATATGTTACAAATAAATTAATCTTTAATTCTCTTTTGAATAAAAAAAATTAGTTTATCAATCAAATACACTGATTATAACGTATTCAATATTCTTGATAATAAATTCAATTTTTTAAGTAAAGTTGGCCTATTATACAATGATAATTTTATCATAAAATTAAAAATACTATTGTTTTAAAAATTTGCTTATTTCAATAATAAAAAAATTATTTTCATAGTGATTTACAGAAGTACATCTCTAGTTTGCTTATGATTTATTTTAAAAGTATAATTGCAAAAATTGTTGTTAACAATAATATTAATGCATCAAAATTTATCTAGTTCTTCTTTATTCAAAAGAAAAGCTATAGAATTGATAAATGCAGTTACTTAAGTTTGTTTCAATTGCTTATTCTCATTTTTCTTGTAATATTCTTTATCAATGATTTATTTATAAATAACGATTCCAAAAGTGATTATCAATAGTAATCCTTAATTTGATACTTTTGGGTAAATAATAAACTTTAAATATTTAATTGTAAAAATGGCTTTTATGGTTTATATATTTATAAAATTCCATATTTATTATTTCAAAGTATGATTTGACCTTATTGTACTTCTCAAATATAATTTTATTGATGCACTCACTCAAAGAAATCAGAGTAAATAGAAGGTAGAGCTTCTTTTAATTTTGTTGTGGATTCTACATAATAAACGTTTATTTATAATACATCTGCCTCAAAATATATTTATACAATGATAAAAATACAAAGAAGTAGTTGTTCTCCATAAAATTTCTTAGAAAATTGTTCAAAATTGCAAAATTCATATTCCACAGCTGTTATACGTAGATTATAAAGAAGTAAAAATTGGAATTATAAAAGGAAAGAATGTAAAAAACTAAATAAACAAAAATAAAGGAATAAAATAAAGAAATTACAAATTGAATTTTGGTGCTTTTATTCGATAAAAACCTAACCTAATTTACATTAGAAAAAAGCTTACATTAATTAATTTAATATAATTTTTGTTTAAAATATTATAGAATGCTTCAATAGTTCTATCGTTCCATTACCAGTACACATACTTGCCATTAATGTAAAACAGTTTCATGCATTTGACGTTTTGATTTTAGTATTGTGCTTGTGTAGTTTGGATCTGCCATTGTGGTATGACCATACAACAATAGATTTCAAACATTTAATAAAAAACTAGCTCCAATCGTTTAAATTTGATACTTTGAAGCTGAATTGCTCTAGCCAAGTTCTCTTCAAGTCACCAGGTACCAAAATTTTAGTATTATCTTTGAGTGTATCTTGAATGATGAAATTGTTATTCTTGGCTATTTCGATTGACTTATAACCCTTAGGTTACAGATTTTTTTTTAATTTGGCACAATTGTTGTACACATGAAAGTGAGATTTTTTCCAAATTTTGATGACAATACATTAATTAACAATTAAAGAAAAATGATAAAAAATTTTCAAACGGCTATATTTTAAAAACTAATAAAGATATCGAAGTCGGATTTTTTTCAAAAAACTTATATCTTAAAATTTCGAAATAATTATAACAATAAATAATAAAAATATTTTTTCGAAAGTTATTAACTTTTTGTTTAAACAAATGCTAATATCTCAAAAAGTATATTTTGTTTTGAAAAATTCTTGCTTCTGCGTGTTCCTGAGAATTTTTGCTATCGAAATCAATCATAAAATTAAAGGTCCCAACATATTCGAAGGCGTAGCCCTAATTAGAAGAAAACGCCTCAGTGTAAGACCACGAAGACGTCCCTTTGCCGTTGCGACGTACACCGAGGCATTTTCTTTTGATTAGGGCTACGCCTTCCGATATATCGGGCCCTTGAATTTTATGATTGATTTCGCAAGCAAAAATCCTCAGGAACACGCAGGAACAAGAATTAAAAAAAAAAAAATATATTCCTTTTTATTATGTGCCGAGCAGCGGCACACGCCGGCGCCCCCCCGACCGACGGCCGAGTGGTGACAATCGATAGATCGCGCCGTCCGCCGCCGCGCGCAGCACCAGTCAGCCTTTCCACGTCGCGACCTCGCATCTCGTCGTCTCGCTCGTCCGCAGCCGCGTTGTTTGAAAATTTGCTCTTCCAATTGGACAGATATTAAAATAATAAATGCAGGCACTTACTGCAATGACAAGGAATCTAAATAAATATCCAGTATGTCAATACATGAAAGAGAAACTAATAATAATTTTTGGCCGAAACGAGTTAAGTAAAGGTTAAAAAAAACCAATAGTAATCAAACTCTATTAGATATGAATTAGCAGATACACCAATGTAATGGATCTTAAATGTAATATATTTCAATATCTTAAATTGTTAATAACATTGATTTTAAGTTAAGAGTTACAATTTTTTATTTTGAGTTTTCAAAAGATTATTCAAGAACTGAATATCTAAAATAGAAAATTATAACAATTAGTTCAAGATCATTGTTATTAACGACTTAAGATATTGAAAGAATGTTGCATTTAAGCTCCTTTACATTGGTGTGTGCTGATTTTTATCAAATAAAGTTTGATGTTATCTATTTTATTGGTGACGTTATTTTTATGAATAAATTTTGCACATTACAGTAGCGATGGTCGAGAGTTAAGAGCGCATGCGGGTACTTATAGGAATCTAGACGTAAAGGACAGTATTTATGTACTGATAATTTTATTAAGAAATGACAGAGCTCCAGAGAGATGTCTTTACATGGTGAGATCGTGTACAAGACTACCTACGCTTGTCCCTCTCGGGGGCTTACAAACTTGCCGTCGGTGCTAGAAGATATGTACTTATCACTTCTTTTAGGAGCAAGTATGTCTTAGGAATCCAGAGATGCGTGTAGCTTAATTATTTATTTCGGGTGGCGGTTATCTCTACGTATCTATGTTCTGTTTCATTTTCGGCCTAGCGTATATATTCCGCGTACATGTTGTTTGTTTATTACGGCATATCTTATATATTTCTATTAGTACTGCGCTTGGACCGCATGTGCGACGAATACACGTGTATGACATATGATCTTAGAACTATAGGAAATAACTATAAATCGCATGACAGTCCATTTCTTAAGCTGATTCTTGTCCTCAAGAATGTCACAATATATTCACGACCAGTGGTGGAGGCACATTGTGCAGTACAAAAGAGTTACAGACAATACCATTATTAATCAGATCAGAAACAGTTTGAACGTTAAAGCAACAGAAGTAGGTAACTACTCGTATATCGGAAGGGATGCACGATTATAACAACAATGTCCTATAAGACGTCTAAAAATATATTGTAAAATCACAGCTATGTTGCTAAACAACCCTACCTTGTAACCGATATAAATTGCTATAAGCGTGAGTGCTATATATCCAGCGTAGTGCAGGTAATCTACGGCGGTAGCGATATAAGAGTGACGACGTTGTTTCCTTGACAGTAATTCAAGCTCTTCCTCTATTTATTTTGAATTTGACGCTTTTTTGTGTAAATTTTCTGAGTGACGTCGTATATTTAAATTACATATATAAAGAGTTCTTATTTTACAAAACATAGCTTTATACATTCAATAACATTATATATATATATATATATATATATATATATATACTCATTTTACTCATTTTAAAGCTTAGGATATCTACTTTCTGATGCTGTGTGCGCCTTTGCAAAATCCAACATGGCGGCTCCAATATAGCGGCTACAAGAGACAAACTCGTAAACAAAAAATTTTATTTTTCAAATTTTTAGTAATAAATGTTAAAAAAATTAATATTTCATATTTTTTTATGAAAATCTGGCTCATTTACTACAAAAAAGTAACAGAGACCACTTTCGCTAAAATGAAAAATAAAAAAGTTATAATTTTTTGAAAATTTTCAAAAATAAAAAACTTTGCGATTTTTTTACTCAGAAGGAAATGACTTTGGAAAAAAAATTTAAGGAACAAAATTGCTTGAAATTCATCAAAACACAAGCGTGAATTTTTTCGAATTCCTTTGAGCGATTTTTTGTAAAAGATCTTTGGAAGTTTTTTAATTTTTCAAACAATCCGATAAATCCAAAAAGCAAAAAATAAAAATTCGCTTCGGCCGCTATGTTCACTTTATCAATTTTTTTCTCGAAATCTATGGACTTTAGAAAAAAATTCATAAGAACAAAAATGTCTTAGAATCATTCGAGAAACATCTTAAAATTTTTTCAGAATTTTTGGAGACATTTTTGAAAATTCCATTTCCCAAGTTTCCCGAAAAATCAAAAATTGTCTCAAAAAATTCTGAAAAAATTTGAGAATGTTCCTCGAGCGATTCTAAGGCATTTTTGTTTTTATGAATTTTTTTCTAAAGACCATAGATTTTGA